TCGAGCGCTGACTCGTGTAGTGAGCGTATAGATGTTTGACGTTCGAATATTGCTGGGGAAGTTGGTGACAATTCTCGTTAGATAAGTAGTGGAGATGCATTTTTCTTTTCATGACTTCAAGCGCGTTTCTGTTCTGCGCTACTTGCATCCGTCACTGTTACTGTGAATTGAGTGTTTCGCGGCTAGGCTGAAATACGTGGGTACATGTTCCCGCTACGGTGCTTCTATTTCAGCACGGGCTGAGAGTAGGAACACCCCAGTATTTCAATTTAGGTGCATGTTACAGGTCATCAGGTAGTCAAAATTAACCGCCAGCCCCTTATCACGGCATGCCTCTTAGCACTAGTTCTGGTACGTAGAACGCCGAACGTTATCATAATTGAATTGCTATGGGGTGGGCTGGGGGAGGCAAAAGAAGGCGAGTTTGATGTAATGGAAGAATCGGCATACTCGAATAAAATTCCGAGCAGTAAGAACGTATTTCTCCGTTAAGACGCTTGGTCGTTTGCGTTGAATAAATCTCTTCTTGTTGTCAACCACTGAACTGCTTATTTTTGTGGAGTGTATAGGAGCCCATGTGCTGTCCACAATGTTTCCTCCTGTTCAGTGTTCTTACTGGCCAGCACAGTCCAAGAGTGCATCTCTAGGTGCGTTCTCGTCGCTTCTCGGACCGGCGTTCATTTTAGAATCGATCGTTTGCTAAAGATCAATGCGAAAAATATTCGAAACGTCGTTAATCTCATCGGTTCTCAATTCCTTGGGGATTTCTTCGCCAAATGTAGACAGTGGTGACGGCGGTGACGACGATAGTGGCGACGAGCACATGGTTGCACGTTATCGCCTAACACACGAAATGTTAGCTGAAACTCGTGGCATCATTTCGTGTGGCTACGTGATAGTTCGGAGAGGGGAGGGAAGGGCTTTACACTCGTTTTGAATCGCGTTCAAATGTAGTCCTACTAGTTGATGGTATGGATACCTATCCACTCTTATGCTGCATTATCGTTAGTGAATCGTTAATGAAATCCCCATCGCATGATGACGTCTTCATTTGACGTTAGACACTACCAAAACTTGTGACGTCGTCGTGATCCCACGAAACGTAACGTCTCACCATGAGGTTACCACGTGAGATCATCGCTTTGTATCACTTCAGTGGTCAGCGGGTCAACGACAGAGACAGCGCAAAACGAGATGCGACGCGTAAAACTTCCAATGCTGTCGATTCTGGAGGCGATATTATACCACTTCAAGTGCAGACAGTTTTCGGGGGAGTGGTATCACTACATTGACTGAAAAAAGAGGAGAAGATTACTCTTGATTCGGAGAGATGCAATACGGGCTTCTTGGTAGCTCATCTTTAGGAAGTTTTCTTGTAGCGCACGTAAATAACAGGAAGAAATGAGGGCACATGCAGACAGATAAAGCGCTATCTTTTAACAAAGGTCGATTTTAGGTACATGCTAAATTTAACGTCCCCAAATGTATAACTGCATGACTAAACAGAACTTGACCATTTATTTTGCGCCAAAGAGTAGTGGAACTCCTTTACGTCAGCCGAGAAGACCTTAAGTCTTTCATATAGTTGGCTTCTACGAATATAAGGAGTTCGTTAGAATCTTTAGTCATGAAGGCATCATTTATCTTCAGCAGGTTTAGCTTGTCTAAAAGATGACTTGCAATGGCCTTCTGCTACTTGCCATTCTCAACACAATTACTCTGAATGGAATGCCTTTTTTATGCGTCTTGGCAGTAAAAAATACATCCAGAGTAGTATTTCTAATTCCAATTCCTTTCAAAACTCCGCTTAGCTTCATGTCGCGGCAGAGCGCGACAACTCGGCTCCTCACTTTTGCCAACAAAATTCTTTGTGGCCATAGAACACATCACTCATGGCATTGCTAGCTTTTTCTTCGGAAGCGGGTGCTACATATGACCATTTTTTAGAACTTTTAAGCATGTACCTGAAATCGACCTTTGTTGAAAGATAGCGCTCTACCTGTCTGAAAGTGTCCTCATTTCTTCCCGCCGTTTACGTGCGCTACAAGGAATCTTACTGAAGACTCGCCTTCGGGTCATATTAGACGAATGCATAGGGGATCCTGTAAACTTACTTTAGTATAAAACCGCTTGTTACATATATGCTCTCAATAGCCAAGCCAAACCATGCTAATCACTACGCTGCAATAGTGTTTGGGTCGCCATGGCAAGTTAAACCGTATGATTTCATAACCATATCCATAACCAGAACCACATCGTCACCGATTCACACAAGCATATTTTTTTTATGGCAGCTAGCAACGTTATCACCGTGCCTCTACGTTTGTGCGTTCTACTTCCTCTTTATCACGCCACGAGTGCATGCGCTTCTCCGTCTGTAAATGTAGCTTTGCCTCAGCAGTTGAATAGCTGCGGAAAAGCATACTTCCTTCAATGCAGAGACGCGATCAAGTGTCACAGGTGGCGGCGAAGCGTTGGGAATTGGACGACGCGCTGTTCCCGTTTCGATTGTGCGTGTATAGGAAAGCGGACTGGGGCCAGCTGTCACCGCCTTTAGAGATGATTGCGATGCCGATCGACGTTCTGTGCTCGGTATGTGTGTACGCGGGTCTCAATCTGCCGTCGCGCTTCATCTTTGCGGGACTCATTATTGGTGGCATCTCGTCCGCTTAATTAAGCTAGAGAAAAGAAAAAAAAATCGAAACACGCCGTTTTTCCTATTACAGCAGAAACCTCATTCCCGTGAAGCAATAGTGGCATCGACGGTCGGTGGTACAGTTCACTTCACGACTTGCGATCTTCACATTCAGCAAAATGTAAGCCATCGTTATGCCACAAAGACACGAGGAGAATTGCATCCAATATTGCACTTTATTAAATGGTTCAAGAAGAGTCCACTTGGTGAAATGAATTAAAACTGCTACGCGAACAAAACAAATAACGAGGGAATGGTACTCTTTTAGACCCCAAAATTGCTTTTTATGAAAATATCTAGGCCTATTTGTCGCGGAACTACGCTGTGGAATTAAGAATTTTTTAGTGACACAATAAAGGCAGCGAAGTTGGATATTTTCTACGGCAAATTCACTTTTCTGAAAACAAACTCAAGTGTAAAGGGTTTAGTGAAGCCGGTCATATTCGAACACACAAGTAAGAACAACAATTTTTACTTCCTTGGTGGACTTTTACGTCTAGGACTATGAATAAAGAGAAAAGCTCTCACCTCTGTACGAAAACAAAACAAAAATCTTGATTTGCAGATTTATATGGTATTTTCTGCAACACTAATGGTCAAAATGCATACTTTCACAAGCAGATGTTTCACAAAAACTTCAGTGCAAACCTTCATACACCTAAGCAACAAACGTTTCACGGCGACACATCATACTTTAAAAACAAAAACTCACAATAATGTGCATTAAACTTCACCACAATGATTGTAGTAACCGATGGTGGCCACTGTCTTTTACTGGAAACACTTGAACGCGCTTGTTCAGCGAATGCACGAGAACCTCAAAAACTGATCTGTTTGATTCGACAACGCCGTACTAGAATGAAAACTAACGGCATTGTGTTGAGTGCTTGGCCGAACGACAGCAGCACAAGTCTGGTTATAGAAGTCGTTCTAGTTTTCCTGCAAGCAACTGGATTGGATGCACATCTTTCGACTTGCCCCAGTGTAACAGGGCTATTTTCACGTCTCCTTACCTTACCAACGTTATTCACCACTTTTTCGCTTCCCTATACCCAACCCCCACCCCAGTGTAGAGTAGCTGGCCAGGGCAAACTGTAGCTCAGGCCAAGCTATCTGCGCTTTTGTAAATAAGCTATCTTCCTCTCTCTACTTTCCTTCTACCAGAAGTGGTAGGCAATGTTTATCTTGACTAGTGTTGGCACATCATGCATAAATGAAAAAAAAAACTTAAAACGCCAGGCCTGCGTGGAAGGCGCAGCACAGTCACAGCGAAAGCTAGAAGAGTGGTTTTTCCGAGCCTTTCAAAGCACTCATTGGTAACTACTGCAAGAGCACTTGCTTGATACGCACTACGGCATTAACAATAATTCTTTTTGGGTGGTAAGCCGGCATTCGCTATGCTATATTTCATCATTCTTCTGAGAAGCGTCGTATGCACTAAACACTTGCAAGAAGTTTTGCGTCAATCGTTCATGCAGGCGCTGAAAACGATGAGGAATTATGGCTGAAGTGTGTATTCGCCACAGGTAACAGGGGAACAAGAACAAGTTTTTGTAATGAGTTACAGCATCGGACGACCCTCTCGTTACGCTATTCGCATTGTGTGACGACTGCTTGTTCTTCCGCTGTTTTAAAACGCTTTATAAGTCGTATTAACGCGATTGTTTCCCGACAACTTGCCTGCCTGAGGGAAGTTTGCCAACAAGTCCCAAGCGCCGGTGTGGCTCTGTGGTACAATACTATGCTTGCAACCAGCGGAACCGGCTTCGAGGCCCACTGTGTCATAGGTGCTAGGTCATGCCTGCCTATGGCAAGTTTTACAACAAGTTTCAAGCACCGGCATAACTCCGTGGTATAATATTGGGCTGGCATTCATCGGACCCGGGTTCAAGCCCTACTGTGTCAATGATGCAAGTTTGTTTTCTAATTTCGCGCGATGTTGCTACGGAAACCGGCAGTGGCGGCGGCGGCGGCGGTGGCGGACAACTGCGCGTGAACCGAGTGAAGATGTCATAACAGCTTTCACTGTAAAAAGGGCTAGTCACTAGAGCCATCGTTTCGAGAAGCAACGTTGCTCTCTTCAAACAAGCAGCTGTCATGGCACTGAAGAAGTTCAGACAACTTCTCCAAATATTTCCCCTATCAAGACTACATTCAACAATTTTTTATCTCTTCAAGCCCCACATCCTATTGAAGTTCTTTCATGTTTGGCTGAATAATGCAGTTCCAAACACTATTTACTCACTATGTCACAATTCTAACTATTCAGTTTCACTCAGTTTTTTTTCTCTCTTTTCCTGCGCAGATGCTTCTGGCGTTCCTACAGTGGTGACGAGCCGGGTAGGTGGTGACGCTGCCCTTCCCTGCCACCTTCGTCACGCCACCCAGGACTCGTGGGCCGTGTCTGTGTCGTGGTTCAAACGGGGCCTCTCAGCACCCGTCTACACGGTCGACATGGGCTCGGGAAACTTCCTGCAGGCCAGGCACCGGCCAGCGCATCTATGGTCCGGACGCGCCTATTTCTCGTCGGCCGACGAACCGGCGCTACTCATGATCGGAGACGTCGCCGCGGCTGACGCCGGATTGTACGTGTGCTCAGCGTTGTTTGCCAACGATGCTCAGCGCAACTCCACCGTGCACTTCGTCGTAGTCGGTGAGTGCTAGTTTCCTATGGCATGTGCGACCATTCGGTTATAAAAGGGGAAACTACTATTTTGCATCTGCATATTTTAGCACTGAAATAACTGAAAAAACACGATCAAAAGTGAGCAATTCTATCGTTAGTGATCCTAAATCATAATGGTAAGAAATCTTATAAATCTGATTTGCTACCCTTGGCAACAAACACACCAAAATTTTGTTATAACAAGGTTGGATTCCAGTCTAAGCTTATGCAAAAGCAAAATAAAAATTTAGATAGAAAGACGCACGACACTGCTATTGTACAGCAAGTAGCCTACACCACTGCCTGCATTAATTGATACCTGCCACCACCTAACGAACACTGGCCACCACTTAGCCAGCATATGGTGACACTGGCTGATATGTGCATATAGTAGGCCAGCTTTAGCCATCATATATCCATACTTATGGCAAAGCTCCTCTCAGTCTAAGCTTGTCATGCGTCACGCGTAACCCCGCCGCGGTGGTTTAGTGGCTGAGATACTCGGCTGCTGACCCGCAGGGCGCGGGTTCGAATCCCGGCTGCGGCGGCTGCATTTCCGATGGAGACGGAAATGTTGTAGGCCCATGTGCTCAGATTTGGGTGCACGTTAAAAAACCCCAGGTAATCTAAATTTCCGGAGCCCTCCACTACAGCGTATCTCATAATCATATAGTGGTTTTGGGACGTTAAACCCCACATATCAATCAATCAATGCGCCACGCGTAGCCGAAAGAATTGACGAGAAAGAAAAGACGGTAGTATCTCCCGAACAATATAATTGATGGCGCTGTCTCATAGAAGTGCATAAAAACTGCTGTTGAGTGAGGATATTCTAGATGGCGCTGTACTGCTGCCCTCCAACTGGCTGCTGCGCGGGCTGTTGCTGGGTACATGGAAAACGAGTACCTCTCTCAGTTTCCTGGATAGTCGCTTTACGTGGCGGATTGTTGATGGGGCATAGACGAAGCAGAGAGATGGGCACGTTGAAGACGCTTGCGCTCGGCTTTTTTGACTCGCGTCTCGTCGGTGTTATCCGCGCGCCGTCTGCATTCTCGAACGCGATCGGACGCTTGGACACATACACGGACGGACAGACACATGAACGGATAGACGGATTGACGCTTCGCTCTACTCATCCTTCACTCCGTGAATATGCTGTAATTTTTGGCAGCCTTAGGTAATACTGGACACCATCAAACTGTGTTATACCCGGTGCTGATAGAATGCGAGTAATTGCGGCATGCGAGGGCAGTACTTATAAAAATTTCATAAGTTTGGGGGGTCATGTAAGGTTTACGCACGCGCATGCATCTATAAACACACACACACACACACACTCACACACACAAATGAGAGCACACGTATCACAGCTCTCCCAGCTCCAACCTCGCTTGCCCCCATCCCAACACCTCACACACAACAAAAAAAAAAAAACATAGACACGCACGCATGCATGCACGCACCAATTACTGGCTTTGTTCTTTCATGTAACTGGTATGCAAAGCGCTCGCGTCCCTGGATACGTGCTTTTCTAATTCTGGGATTATGCTTACGCCTAACACTAACGTCGACATCGCCTCGTCAATCAGTGCGCGGACGGACATGCTATATAGCCGCCACACGCAATGACCTACGCGACAAACGTCTCGCCTGGTCCAAAAACGCGTGCGCGATTCCGGCCAAACTAATGAAGCCTCACCTCCTTTCTGAGCTATTCCTATGCGCGGAATGTGCGGTGGCGGCCAATTAGGACCACCTTATTTCTCCGGCGTCGTGCTATTAGTCTCGCTGGGTGACGCGTAGAGCAGTGCTGCTGCGAACTGCGTTCGCGTCCAGCACGCACCCCGGCGTGATCTCTTTATTGGTGTTCTTTTTTGTTTTGTCGACACTACACATAAAACCGGGGCAGGCGTGCGAGGTCTCGCCATGGGTCTCGCCCAATTTGCCGCCGGCGAGACGTCATTTCCGGCTGGACCAGAAGAGAGCTCCGGTGCTCCCAAAGACGCGGCCACGGATGAGAAACGCCACAGGAATAGTGAGCGGGAGAGAGACGTTCGGACACCCTTCGCTGCCACGTTCTCTGTATTGAAATGGAGTGGACGTACGCTGTTTGTAGTGCAAACGTGGAATCGAGCTAAACAATCAGTCGTCGCAAATAATATAGAAAGCGAATAAAAATAAGGGAGGCACTTTAATCGGAACACAATATCCCATTTTCTGCCGTTCAACGAGAAGAAAAAAAGTGAAAACGAAAACAAAAGAATAATAGGAAAGGTGTTGCAAAGCTGAAGACTTGCTTATGAATATTTGTCCAGAATAATGAAGTGCGTAGATGAAAATCATTCGAGCAATTTTGCCTGTGGCCGTGAACGGTTATATGGTATGTAGCTGTTCTCATTTGAATAAAAGAGATATCGTGTGACAGTTGTTATTGGGAAACTTTTTCAAAAATATTGTATATGTAATTTATATAACAATGTTATTGCGTTATAAAAGATGGAGAATAAATCATACTGCCATCACTGTAGACCAGCAAGACTGAGAACAAAAAGAAAAAAAAATCAGGTGGCAGTTCACTGAAGGGTAAGAAAATAATTCGAGGGAAGGTTCAATGAAGGCGCTATGATGGTATAAAGGGTTTAGTGTCTTGATATCTCTTAGGGAGGACCCCAGAATTTATTTATGCATCTATTTATTTCTAACGTCCAATCAGGCACAATATAGGTGTCATGCACCCATTGTAAAAACATTATAGAGAACAGTTACATTATTTTTTTATTGAAACTAAATATATTAAGCAGTTGTCACCAGTATTACGCACCAGCTTTGAATTCCACGGAGTTTCTAGCATGAAATTTAAACTTGAAAAAAAAAAGTGAGATCAAACTTGGAGGATGCTTGCGCTTCGTCTTCAATAGCAGAGCACGACATAGTAATTGGGCTCCGTGGGGATCGTCTTCTCGATCGCCAGCCTGGAATCATTACTCGGTGCAAGTCTCAACCTTACCGTAAAAACAACGAGTGACTGTGCGTGCAGAATTCACCGTTTCAAAGTATCCCAGATTGTATCGTAACATGTTTCAAAGTATACTAGTACAGTTGTTAAGTGCCCACTGCGTAAGGATAGAAGAATATTCGAAAATTTTGAATAATGAATCGAATAGTGCGTACTGAAAGTATGGAATATATTTAATTGTTTTCGAGCAATCGAAAACAACAAAAAATACTCGAAGGAACGAGACGTGCGAATAGTGAGGGGTAACTTTTCTCGTTATCGCCGTCGAGTCACTTCTATGCGTGCAGCCCATCTACTCACGGTGCTATCGGTGTCATATTGATAACAGTATGAAGGCGTCTTGCTTAAAACTCTGTTGTCGTTGAAGTAGCAGTGTCAGCATTCAACTATATCACACCGTGACGTTCGTGGTGATGTCAACACGTGAAAATTTTAATATTTATGAACCAGTGTTATTTACAAAGCTTTTACGAAGTACCACCTTGAATAGTGTAAGTACTGGTATACGTTTCAAAACTTATGCACCAGTTTTAATCACAGACCTTTTACGAAGTACAACCTTGAATATTGTAATCACTGATATATTTAAATGTGCAGCTACAAGATATTCTGAATGCTCCAGTTGCTGCTTAGTTAAAATATTTGTGGTATTTCTTGTGACCTGCAAGTAATAGTAATGTTTGTTTTTTTGCGAAAGCTGGCGAATATTCGTTTCAAATGAAATGTTGTGGAATTTTCGGGATATCCGCCTTGGTAGAACAGTGGTATTGTTGTTCTTCTTCTAACCCAAAGGTTGCGGGTTTGATCCCTGTCATGGCAATTGCATTTTGGTTGAGGAAATGAAGTAGAGGCCCGTGGACGATATCAGTGCCCGTTAAAGAACATGACCAGGTCAAAATGTTTGGAGCCCTCTCCGCTATGGTGCCTCTCATAAATGTATCATGGTCTTGGGACGTAAAGCCTCAGATATTACCTATTCTTAAGCTATTTAGTGAACTGTCACCTTAGCAGCGCTGAGCTGCTTTGAAAATTGCTGCCCTAAAATTTGAGAAGTATTCTAGTAGCATTCGATGTATACTCCATTCACTTTAATCGCTATTCGATTCGTATTTGATTCACTTCTGAATTTCACTACTCACACGCTCCTATCACTGCGCCATAATTATTTGTTTTCTAGGTCGACAAAGGGCCCATACGCATGAACATGAGCAGAGGTTCACTTTGTTGACGCTTTTGATGGTGATGATGATTAAATATCTCTTTGAACAAAGCAATGAATGGACTTTTGAAACACCCACTTGTGCAATTCACCGGTGTTAACGCGTGGTGCGATTCTACACTTCTTCCATGCAATATTGCATGCTTTAGGGAGAGTCCTTCCATTACATGGCGTTCGTATATTATTCTATTTCGAAGCGGTTGCGGCCAAAACCGTGGCTCCGAGGAGGAACATCTGCTTGTTACAATAAAAGCATGGGCTTGACTCTGACTCGCACTTGAAACATTTCATTATTGATTTTGTTTGTATATTTCGCAAATTTTAGTGTCACGGACAAGATCATAATTTTCGCTCACAGCCGCAGACGCCATCATAGTCGCCGACTACAGAATGTCTACAATACGAGATTTTTAACTTTATCGCAGTATATTATAGCCTGACGTTCGCTAAGTTAAAAAGTTCTCGTTGAAAAAGCCACCAACATAGGTTTGCCACACACATGCACAATGCACACTTTCCAGTACTTTCTAGCATCGTTTTTCAGATCCTCGTAACTAATCTGTAAAGACGTTTCGTAGTGAAATTATAAAAGGGGCTGACTGCGCTAGTTGGTTTAGCATACTTGAGATATAAAGGCGCGGAACAACACACAGAGGACAGGAAAAGGACGGGACAGCACTTTTATCGTTCTTTTCCTGTTCTCCGAGTATTTTTCGCGCTGTTAAACATCAAGGAATTGGACACTCATGAATT